CTCAAAAGGCCTACGACAACGACGATGCTTGCAGAGCTGTCTGGGCAGATTTCCCACCAAATGTAGTGGACTCACGATAACATCGTTGTTGGAACAAGGCCGTCCTGGCTGCGCTACCAACCGCGACATGTCCTACGCCCAGTCATTTGCAAATTCCAAAAGGCAAGAAGTATACGAGACAAGATGGAGACGACTTGACTTTGCGACTTTTGACACTTTTGCGTTGCTTTTCTGCTGCGACGGAGTTCTCCATCATCTGGCCTGTGAACTTGAATCTGGTAATATCCTCATCATATTTGCAGTTTTGCGAGATATGGTTTCTGCATCGGCACAAATCCAACTCGTGGCTCAGAGTGCAGACATGAGAGTACATCTTAACCACTCGACTATCCCTGCCTAATCAATCAGTGGACAATGGACATACATTGAGTTGAAAACCCTGGGTGTTCTAGCTGATCTTCAAAGCATCTTATTGACCATAGTTATCACTGTTGTAGCACATTGATGTGTGAGGTCACTTATGTAGTAACCGTACATTTGTGGACCGGACGGCGGCTCCTGTATGCTCCTTACTCTGGACTCATCTTCAGTATTAGCAGTCAGGTTTCTTCAAGGTTACTTCGTGATTTTGGGTATAGAACATGAACCTACTACCACCGTCATGGGATGGTATGCCAATAAGGTGAGGCTATAAACGCTGAAAATGCGCAGAAGCAATTGTGAACCAGTGAGTGAGGGTTTTTGCCCAAGCCTAGGAGGTATCAGATTATCTGAAGGTGTGTAGCGGTGTTTCGTATCGCAGAAGATTTCAGGCTATACATATTTATTATAACAACATGATAAAGGTGAAAGGAAGGGAACTTGGACGAGAGTGGAGGACGGTCGGGGGGTGGACCATCACATGGTGAGTACTCACTACCACTGTCCGTCACTCCAGTTGCGTGCCCTGTCACAAGTTTGCTCCTCGGCATTCTCCTGAATAGAGGATAAAAGGATGAAGTTTCGCCCCTGATTATCTTTTTTTGGAAAGCGGCATGCATTCAACTTTCATTCAGAATCGTAGTGGCTTATTGAATGCGATGTGGCCTATACAATGACTTGCGGGGCCAGCCGATGTACAAGTCAGTGTTTTATCCTCCCAGACGAATCTGGTACCAATTTACCGTCTCCGATTGTGAGAGGGCTTGGTTGGCCTGGGCGGAAGTCGGACCAGGATTTAATCGTCACCGCGCACGCGGTAGGCTTGCTACTTGCCATTACACCGCCTCCGCCTCACACTTAAAAATAATGTTGAAGAAATTTGAGTTAAAAAAGTGCTGGAAGTTGTGAAAGCCATTGTTAGACAGATAGGACTACCACCCAAGCCTGGAGGGAGGAAACCCGGGATGTGTTAGCCACTTCTGCCTCGCCTGAAATAGCGCTCAGGGCGTACAGCTGCGAAGTCACGATGTCTAGCTTTGCATGAGTGCCTTTTGCACAAGCTCAGCCATCATCCCATTCTCCACTCAATCCAAGGAATTTAGCCTTTTATTAGCAACACAGTAACTAGCGCAAGCATTCGCTAGAAAAGAAGTCAGGGCACATCGTTGTTGGGGAATCCTCAATATTTGGTCGCTAGGAGGGGGCCTATCTACGTTTTGGAGTTGTGGGAGTGGCGGTCAACTTTTGGTATTTTCC